TTGGATCTGTACAATTTTTGTCCTTTACCTGTCACACAGGAATGGCAAACAGTCAGCACATTTTCCTTTGCTGATAGTTTGATCATGCTGTATTATCCTGCAATACACTTTAGCCAGCTCCTGTGATCAGTGATGATTTTTCACCCTTGCTGATGACACTGGTACTACCAACATGAAACCAAAACCCTTAGAAGTAAATAACACTTGCAAGGCCCAGCCTAGGAAATGTAATGAATATGATCCAACATTTATTCTTCCACCTTGCTGAAGGCTTAAACACATATTAAGACATTTTAACAAATCTAAGATTATTCTAGGATTCGTGATTTGGACAGCACTCGTCAAGTGTGGAAATAAAATTACATCTCTTTCTGACTGACTTTTTGGATTCTTTGCCTAATGCTGGAATATCTCTTGGCAATTCACCTTGGTTTCAGTCAGAAGGCAGGTACACAACTACGTATTTAGCAGAAGGCCACTGTTGGAGGTCTCTAGAAAGCTCCTGGCTTCTACAATGCTAAAAGCAAAGCAGTTATTCTTAGGCTGGGGCTAAGAAGGCTGGGGCTAGGGCTGACCTTGGACAGCTTCAGAAAATGAGAGATCAGTGTTTTTTGGTAGTTGTTAGATCATACTCTTATCATGCCAGGTGCAGAGAGAATTTCTCCATTTTAAACGTGGAGATAGAAATAGCACATTTTAGACAGCATCCTTAACTGACAAAAATCTGTGATCTATGTTATCAAAGCCAACTCAAGATCAAATACACCCTGCTTTCATTCCAACTGCTTGAGGTCGGTTGGAGTTATTCCAGTTTACACCCTTTGAGAATTTGGCATATGCATTTTAAAAGGCAATTGGGCCCTAAAGCAAGAGCAGACTGTGTTATATTTGAATATCTAACTAAACTGTAAGTAGCAATAAATATAATATATAGCACAATTATGACTTGCACACTTCCCTCTTTTTTTGAAGGAGTGTATTTTTATATTTTCTTCTTTGATCTCTCTGATCATCAGAATTTTTAATATATCATTTGACCCACATTTCCTTTTATATTTCTATAATGATTACACTTTTAATTAACATGACAGATTGAAATATAAAAAGATAATTAAAACCCAGAGTAACGTATAAATTCCTAGCCTAACAACGTAATTCCTCAAAAACAGTTTGAAAGATGTATATTGATATCATCCTCTAATTAATTAATTAATAACACCATAATTAATCATGCGTTAATTCGTATGGTTTTTTTTATTGAGTAGGCCCAAAAATAGCCACTGATAAATATCAAACTAAACACTTATATCAAACTATATTTTAGGTAGGTGCTTAATGAGTATCCGTATTGTCAGAAATATTTTAGTGGCAGAAGCCAGAACATTTTGTGTTACCTATTTCTAGATATATGTGTAAACTGAAGGCAATTACAATGATAGATACACACATTATATATTGGCTGTATATTCACATGGTTAGAGTAAATGTGTGTGTATGCATATGTGCATGTGGTTATATCACTAATAAAGGTTGACAGGAAACAAAATTGAAGCAAATGTTTCAAGACCAGTACTTTTTTATACCCAGACAAGTCATTCTAGGGAAAAAAAAAATGTGCTTTTTTTGCCTGTTGTATTTCCACTGTGTTTCTCCACAAACTGCTCTTTCCTTTATTAGAAATGGAGATGACAGCTACAGTATTGGTATTAGTACTATTGGAACTACTACTAAGATGATTTTTTGGCGAATATGACACTGAGATATAATGCAGATATTAGTCGTGATTCTACTGGTATCAACACAATATTCCGCACAGATTTCAATTGGACTAAGATTTCACAACGTATCTTTGACTGTTATTCAGAATAATTATGACAGGTAGATGGAAAGATCAGGCTTTCAATAAAGAATTTTTAAATTACAAGACAGCATTACCTATATATTCCTTATTTCTTTATGTAAAGCATAAAAAAATCCACAATTATACAATTTTATTGTATACTCCTGAATGATATCCTAATATTTTAGAACCAAATTCAGCAAGGTTAATACCACACAGTAGCAGAACTCTTTGAATTAGTGTAGTAGGTTTAACATATGGTTTCATCTGTTTGAAGTATTTGCGTAAACATATTTTTAAATACTGACAAGCTGTGATCTGAAAGGAAAAGAAACGAAATATAAACCCAGGGTTGGAAAGTGAAACAAAACAAAACAAAAAGAAAAAAGAATAGGCAACTGCCACACTGTTTATGAGTTTAATAGGTAACTGTGTTTGAGAGCCATTTAAGAAGGAGCTTATTGGCTTATTAACCCTCACTTACTGCCTATCAGCTTTGGTTATTCCTTTCCTCTGAAAGGTTTTAGGACTGGAGCCATACTGAGGGGTTAAATTGCCATGCTCCTACATTTGGAATAGGGATGATCATGCTTGAGAATTGCCAGAACCCTTAAGCAGGTCTGTTTTTTTTTTTAGTTAAATATTTCTATAAAGAATATTCCAGTTCAAACAGGAGGTATGAACATTCAGTATGATTGACAGTTTGAATTGTGACAATGGTGAAAATTGCTGCAGTGTAAATCCTTTTTATCTCTCCCTAAGGCAGCCATCATCAAAAAGGAATGGCAGCCTAAGAGAGCACTAACTTGAGTCTTTGTAGATAGGAATTTAGTTCCCTGCTCTTTATCATGCTTTCCATGTGGCACTTAAAACAGGCACTTACGTTTGGAAGTGAAAACCTAACTACCTGCACCAGTATTTTTTTCCAGTGAAGTTTTGCATGCACTTGTTGGTTCAATTCATGTCCAGTCATGTCAGTTAAAATAACAGACCAGAAGGGTGCTATGGGTTTGAAGCACTCATTAGTCTCTTTGAAGTATCATATCATAAACTGAGATCAGTGTTGAGCAGGTCCCAAGCTGGTCTAGGGATGTCATTTACTTTGGGTGACCCACTCTGGCATGCCTAACCTAACGCACACATACTCGATCAAGCCACAATCAAAAAGTCACTGCCATTTTCATTCAAAATGAAACCAAAGTTGGAGACTTCAGCCACTAGACATGTCTAATGTAAAATAAACCCAGCCTTAGAGTGCCTCACCTTTGAGAAGGAGCGAGCCAGATTTGATTCTTTCATCTGCCTGCAGGAATTCCAAACACATGTCCAATTCTCGGATGAACGTCTGCACAACAGATTCCAAATTTCTCCAGAGTGAGAGACGAGCTCAGCAGCTTTGCATGAAGCTGAGCCACTCTGCAGAACAGAATTATGTTTATTGAACAGAGAGGGGAAGAGCTACCTTCTAGACCCAACAGGTTACATCACTTGTCAGGTGTCTGTGTACAGGGAAGGCGTTTTTCCAGAAATTGAAAATGCATCGACAATTTGGGGAGTCGGGATCTAGAATAAAATTTTCTTTCTCTCTGACCCAGAATGTTTTTGTTTTCTTTCTGTGTGAAAGAGGGCATCTCAAGATGTGTGCCCATGACTACTCTCCCAAAATAGCTTGAGGCAACTAAATTTCAAAGGAAGACGAAGTTTAAGGTCAAGTCAGTTCTTTTTCTTTCTTATTGCAGTTCCAAGTACATTGTCTTCTCCATGAACAGTATAACCAACCCAGGTGCCTACTTCAGTGCTGTATCTTTTTCTTGGCACATAGGGAATTTTGTGGATCTATTCTGTTGGTCTTTCCCTAGGGATCAGATGCCAAATTAAAGGCCAGCTCTGTCATTACATCAGCTGCTCTGTGGTATCTGTCTGTAATTTTGGAGTGCGGTATCTTAGCTGGTGGGAAATATCAAGTAATTCCACTGGCTTAACTTGGTCTGCAAATACAACAGGGTTAAGTCATATCAACCCATATCTGTTGCCAACTAAGAGCAGACACTAGGGCTCTGCTCACACAATAATTTGACTGGGAATCTGACCCCTACCTGTTAGTTTTCCTGCTGTAAAACTGGTATCATAATATATTCCCACTAGACTGGAATGTGAGAGGGTTACATGCAAGATGCTCTGGGACTGCACAAATCCTAGAGAATTCATCTTCATTCTGAGAAGGAATTCATGTTCCTTCTGAGAAGGAAGATGCAATAGAAGTGGGGGAAAAGAATCTTACGGATTTTAACAAATACACTTTTTTTGGCTAATCTATTATAAATCTGTTCACAAGTAAATATATGAATCCACCACTGCAGTGGTTTTATGTACGCTTAGTGTAAAATGAACTGTCATCAGTAGTACGTGGGCATATTTTAATAATGTGGGCAAAAGAGTTAAATGTAGAACTGAGTTAAATGTGCAGGGAAATTATATATGCAAAACTCCAAGACTGTATGCCTGTGATGGTACTAATAGTAGTCACTATATCCATATTTTAGTTATAGGGATTGCTCTAATCCTTAAAAAAGAAAAAAAAAAGAGGAAAGGAAAGGAAAGGAAAGGAAAGGAAAGGAAAGGAAAGGAAAGGAAAGGAAAGGAAAGGAAAGGAAAGGAAAGGAAAGAGGAAAGGAAAGGAAGGGAAAGGAAAGGAAAGGAAAGGAAAGAAAAGAAAAGAAAAGAAAAGAAAAGAAAAGAAAAGAAAAGAAAAGAAAAGAAAAGAAAAAAGAAAAGAAAAGAAAAGAAAAGAAAAGAAAAGGAAAAGAAAAGGAAAAGAAAAGAAAAGAAAAGAAAAGAAAAGAAAAGAAAAGAAAAGAAAAGAAAAGAAAAGAAAAGAAGACTTGCGTCCTAAACCATGAGCTTGATTTATTGCAAAATTGCATTTTGTCTCTGCAGTCCAGCTCCCAGCAAATCAACTATACTGTTAAGAGCTTCTCTTTTTTTTTTTTTTGCTTTTAAAAGTGTATTAATGACAAAACAAGGCCCTTAAACTACTGCCGCTGGCATCAGTCATTCAAACATGGCTGTGTTGCACTTTTTAACAACCAAATTAATTCCACATGAAGAGAAAAAGTATTTACTCTTTTTTCTTTTTCCTTTCCTTTTTCAAACTCTACAGACGTCTTGCAGGAAATGGCTTGACATACATTCCTAAGGGAGCATTTGCCGGCCTTTTCAGTCTTAAAGTGCTGTAAGTAAACTGTGTGTTGTTTGATATATTTCTGATTTCCTAAATGCTCCAGGGAACTAATTAACTAGTGAAGTTTTGATCTACTAAATTACATATTTTGATTGGTTCAGTTTGAACAATTCAGTTGAAATGAAGATAATTATGAATATCATTAAATATTTGCTTTTTTATATAGAAAGTATTTTAAAGACAAAGGTTTGAAAACATCAACATCATTCTAAAAACAACTTACTTGTCAAGTAGATGTCTCTGTAGAATATCAAAATTAAAAGTTTCTTTAATTGACTCATAAGCTCTGAATTCAAGTCTAAAAAGCTTAGTAGACTTTCCGTTATCACATAAAATGGAGGGTAAATTGCCTTTTCCTTTTATTGGGAGCTGGGGTAAACAGCTAATTATTATGGAATGCTATGTAATTTAAAATCCAGTTCTTACCTCATATCTAGATTTTATTCTTGTAGCTAAAATAACCACAAGATTAATTATCAAACATGTGACTAAAACGTGTATTATTTAGATTAATAAGACTGCACATATTGTTACTAAGATTATTATCAGGTCAAATCTCACTGTGTTTATACTTGAAGGGGTTTTTGATTATGAAAAGATCACAAAAATAGCTTTGCTACCAGAAATGCCAATTTTTTAGTCAGTGTCAAGCAAATCCAAATTCTAATATAAGGGACACAGAACTCTACCTCGAGGATACCTAAGCATGAAAGAAGTATGAAGAGCTTCCCACTCCATACACTCTTAAGTTGGCACAGCTGTAACTGTTGTTGGCCTAAGGAGCTTTTGACCTGCCAAAAATGATTCTGCTAACAATGTCCCATCGTGTATGCCCCTTTTAGAAGACAGAATGAACTTCCTCCAGCTTACGCAGGTATTTTTATATTTGTAGGAGTTTCCCAAACAAAGCACAAGTGTGAATGAAAGCCATCTATTTCTCCTCACAAATTGATGCCTGATGTTCTAAGGGAAGAAGAGGTGTTACTGGAGTGAAAAAATATTTTCAATCTTTGCAGGCTAAATCAAGCAGAAAGGAGATTTGTTGGGTTATTGCCAGCAACTCTTCTTTTCCGAAAATTAATTTCACTGGGAAAAATTCAGCAGTCTTTACAGAGCTATAATTTCATTCAAACCAGATCAGAAGCTCCTCACACAGTTAAAAGCATGTAGCGTTTTCCTGAGTTAAGGATTTCAAGAGTTGTTCCTTCAGAGCTTTATCAGAAAGAGAAGCTGAATGACTTCAGAAGGGAAAGAAAATCAATACACAATGATGACAGTTTCAGAATCAATGGAGGCAATTAGGAGCTCAAGCCCTGTTGAAAATGAATAGGATTTATTCTGTTTACTTCCTGAGCTGCTGTGAAAATTCTGCTCAAAGCTGGTGTGCAGCTATTAATGAAGTCAATATGCTACAGCTACTTGTTTGCTCTGAAGAGCTTTAGCATCTGCAGTAGTAGGGGAATGGAGTATTTGTGTAGATTGTTTCTATGCTTATAATCTTAAAGTATAACAAAAGGAAAAAAAAAAGGAGATGAGCTTGGAAGAAAATCTGCAATAGAAAATAATTCTTTACTATGCTGGGTCTGGTTTTCATGTTAATCTAAATGTAGGATGCTGCAGAATAACAAA